AAGAAGAAATAGCCGCTAAAAGTCGTAGAAAATCTAATTTAAACCAAAATCAAAATAAATATAAAAATATTAACAAAAGAACACGACTTGGTGGTGTTTTATGAATTTTTATATCGGCCACGATCTCAACAGACACTTTCCTTTTTACTTTAGGGGGAAATACATGTCAAGTTGCTCTGTAAAACCCCTCTGTAAATAGTATTGGTGGATAAGATTCTCCCTAGTAAGAAGGTGGAAAAGGAGAAAATTCTATACTGAAGCGTACTGAGTATTTCCTATGGTTGATAATAAAGCCAGGGTTGTTTCTTCCAAGCTCGCTGCATGTCATTAAAAAATTTTCCGAAATTATGCATTGCATTTCCATCATTTTTTGTTTTCATTTTACAATACAATCAACACTAAGTCTAGTAAAAATACAAAGTCTAGTAATAAAATGCAATAATTTCAATAATAAAACATGCAATTTTTGATCACCAAATTTTAATGCCCACTAAATTATATGTGTTTGAAAGCACCGAAAAACAGAATCCCCTCAACTTTTATTACTTCTTTCCCTCAAACATAGTTTCTCTATGTCATAAATTCTATCTTAACCAATTCAATCTGATTATGTTGATTTGAAAAGATGAAAAAAAATTCACAAGACGTACATGTGTCCGAGGATAAAATCATCATAAGCTTCTTTTGAATATAAGCAGAACTTATTATTTGGAAATCAATGAATTATTCTTGATTTATTCTTTAATTTTTTTTATAAGGGAAATTTCAATTCTGTTTTCATTGCCGGAAAAGTACTTTATGGTGATAAATGTCAGAGATGAAAATTTTAAAATGTCAGAAATGAAAACTACAAAACGTAGGGAATGAAATGAACAATATTTTAAAAAAAATCCGGAAATAAATCCTATGCTAGGCTCATTTTCCAAAAGGGGGGGGGGGTCTTTAAACCCAAGCTCGTTTTTCCGGGAAAAATATTAATGCGGGAGGAAAGTCTACAATATCAGTACTTTTTAAACTATTTGACATGTATCAGCATAATTTTGCTATACCCCACCCACCAAAAATACAACAAGACCATTTATAATCTTTTCTTTTTTTTTGGGGGGGGGGGGGTTATTTTATTGCTTAAAATGTTCAACTCGATTGACTTTGGTTTGATCTTGCCAATTAATGCACATCTTCCTTAACCAGTGTTAATCCCGGGGTAATGCCAAGCAGAATGAAATAATCGTTAGTCTTTAACTGGATAAGAAACGGTGGTTATAAAAACATGGGGGATATGCGGCTTCAAGTTTCGTCAAGTGAGACAATAGGCCTACCCCCAATGCACAGACATGTTGTTTTAACAACAACGGGATAGGCTAGTACCCCTTAACACAAGTCCCTGTCACAGTGACCCTCCAATTATTTTATAGTTAGGTACAATATGAATCGTAAGAATTATGCATAATTATTATTAATAATATAATGAAATATCTTTCGAAAGATATGAAAATCCTTTTTTGGAAGTGGAAGTCGAACGATTTTAGGAAAGAGACTGTAATGAAATGATCATTGTTAATTGGACTTACGAACACTATATACTGAACAATGTGCCAGTGAAGGTATACGTATTATATATATGTATTTTTTTTTTATTTTGCAATGATAATATTGATATCACTTAAACTATAAAAGACACAAGTTGTACATGATTTTCCCATAAGGTAACTCGATCAACAGATCTTTGCATCTTTATAATTTTTGTTTTGTGCAGTACCTGGGAGGTATGTACTACGATGAGGAGCTAACAGTTAATCAGTGCTAACATCAAATTTTGAATAATTTTTTGATAGATAATTTGAGGTTTTGTACTGAAATATATCATAGTATTAGAAATATAATTAATTAAAATTGACTTACGAAATCCAGCAACTAGCGAGATATCGCAAGACTTGATTCTGTTAGTATATATACAATGTACATACATGTACGTCCCTGGAACTCCATTTTGCTGGGAGGGACACTTTTATAACAACTATACCTTAAATAATTAAAAAAGATTAATTAAGCAAATTAATTTCGAATCAATAAAGGAGAAAAATCTGCATATTAAACCGAAGGCGGACCTTTTATTATAGAGGCAGGCCGGACCTTATATGTTATCGTATTAGGTCCCCCCGGACCTTTAAACGAGGCGGACCAAATATTATGCGACACCGGTCTCTACGTCCCACAGTGGGATTCGAACCCGCGACGTAAGGATCAATTCCTTACTTCGCGACTCTAGAGCAGACGCTCTAACCACTGCGCCACGCGGGCGACGATACATTGTAGTAAAAATTAGATGGGGTAAGGCGCGGATCAAGGAATTTTTTCCATGGGGGGAGGGGAGGGGATCCCAATAAAAAAATATTTCAACCCAGAAATTTCTTGACGAGCCAAAAAAAAAGAAACTTTTCCCAAACGTGAAAAACCTATTTGTGTGTGTGTGTGTGGGGGGGGGGGGGTTCGTTGACATTTAAAGCTTCATACCTAAGACTTTTCATACCATTTTAACACAGATCCGCGTTATCGAGGAAGGGTCCGCATTTTCTAAGGGGGGGGAACTGCCCCCCACCCCCTCTAGATCAGCGCATGGGGTGATTTGAAATAGTATTCTCAAGAACCCCTGGACTACAATGAGAACATTTTCAACATAGTATACATTAATTTTTTTTCAAATCTTGATTCCAGGGAGAAGGTTTGGGCCGGATTTATATATCCCCCCAAACGAAGTGTGTGGGTTTGGGGTGGGGGTGTTTTGAGTCTTTTTGAATCACACTGTCCCTCTGCCTAGCTGTCTGTCTGTACGTGATGATTTGCCCAGGATATAACTTTATGAAGAAACTGGAAGGTCACAGTTGGTACAAAGATTACTAATGATCCAAGGGTGTGTCATGGATTTGTTCCAACATCATTCCGGCAAGTTCAAGGTCACTGGAAAAAATAGCAGTTTTGTCCGACCCATTTATTTATTTGTAATAGAGAGTCACTGCAAGCTCATACTTGATATAGGAATTGCTTATGACAAAAGGGTTTGCCACGACCTTCATCCAAGGTTATTCCTGTAAGTTCAAGGTCACTGACAGAAAAGTGTAAGATTATTGTATGTGCTATAATTTTGAAAGCTCATACTTGGAACAAAGATTACTTATGATCCACTGGTTTGAGATAACATTGTACTAGACTGGTAGAAAAAGTTGCAAAATTTGTGCCTGGATTATAAATTTATAAGGGGTGGGAGGAACACAGAAAACTTTTTCTCAGATTGCTTAAGATGGGTTTGTCCTGACCTTGAACAAAGGTTTTTCCGGCAAGTTCAAGGTCACTGGCAGATAAATATTAATTTTTTTCCATGCTATAACTTTGTAATATAAAATCACTGGAAGCTTTTACTTGATACAGAGATTGCTTATGATCCAAGGATATGTTTTGACCTTGATCCTGGCAAGTTCAACGTCACTGACAGAAAAGTGCAATATTCTTTTCCAGGTATACCTTTTGTCATTGAGTATCACTGGAAGCTCATAATTTGTTCAAAGGTTGTTTTTGACCTTAGCATAGGTCATTTAGTCAAGTTCAAGGTCACTGATATAAAAAGTGTAAAATTCAAAAAGGTCTAGTAGCCCATGTGGCGCAGTGGTAAGAGTGTCTGCTCAAGAGTGGTGGAGTAAGGAGTTGATCCTTACGTCGCAGGTTCAAATCCCACTGTGGGACGCAGAGACGGGTCTTTCGGATGAGACCGTATAAACCGAGGTCCCGTCTGGCAGTAGGTGCTGGCACGAAAAAGATCCCTCACTGCTCAATGGCCATGAGTGCTGAGTATAGTTCAAAATTTGCAGATCTCCATCTGCAAATGGTGGCATCTCCATATTATCGAAAAAATCTCGAGAGGGACGTTAAACAACATACAAAATAAAAACAAACAAAAAATCTATAATCTTGGACAAGTTCAAGTTCACTGACAGGGGAATTCTACATTCCTTTACTGTCTTTCTACTGTTGAAACATTGCAAGTTGATACCCCTTACAGGATTGTTTATAACCTTAAAATGTTGCATGACCTTGACTCAAGGTCGCTATGTCCTGTCCGGAGCTCCGACGGAAGACCTATTCGTTGCATTGCAACGAGCTCGGCTCTAGTTGACAAATAATTCTCGCGGAAGTGAAGCATTTCTAATTACTGTACTATCTACATGTAAAGTCAGCTGTTTTTAATGAGGAAAATTATCTTATCGACTGTATCCAAGGAAAGACGGTTTCTCAATTTTAAGATGAGAATTCCATCTCTTTATCACTCTTTTATTGTATTTATTTATTCGAATGTCGTTTCGTTTTTCGATCGTCGGTCCATTCGACTGATAGTCGAATAGTCGACTATTCGTTGACATCCCTAGTTGTGAGCCTTTGGAGAAAATTAAATTTCTTAGTGATGATGTCATTCATTCTCATTTTTTTTAAATCCCGTATTTCTAAATATTTCATGCAGTTTCTTTTCCAATGAGAGCTTGTCTGTTAAGTGTATTAGCTAACTGTCATTGGTTACTGTTATTTACTGTTAATGATATTCTGTAAATATGTTATGTTTCAAATGGTTTTTACAAGCACTTTCGGTTAATGAAGTTGTTCAAATCACTGCATGTTTTTTTGTGTTTCAGCTTAATTTATTTATCTACCTTTCTTTATCAATTACATAATTATAGTATTTTATACTACGGCGGTTATGGAGGTCTGCTAGGTTTGAACCCTTCCATTCCTAAACAAATACATGCTTCACATTATATGAAGGCTTATTTTATCGAATTTGACTCAATACAACACATACAAATATTATAATTTGAAAAAATAAACTAAAAAAAATTAAAGTTGAAACATAAATCAAACTTAGTTTTTGTGTGTGTAAGGGTGAGTGTGTATGTGTGTATGTAACTTTTTGAATTGCGTTTTATTCTGACAAGTATGGGTTCTAATATTTGCAGTTTTTGAAAGGATTTAAGACGGTACAGGTGAAGAATGTGGAATTAAACAGGATGGGACAGCAGACCTCCCTAGGTAAACACATCGTTTTTTTTTAAAGAATACATTTTATATCAACAATATCTAAACTTAGCTCAGCCACCCATCAAGCAGAGATTTTTCTTGCTTTAAAAGATTTACCAAAGCAAACATCAAAATGCTATATAGCCATACAATACAATAACAATTTTGAAAGATTGTAAAATTAAGAAAAGTAAGTGCACAATGGAAATACAGATCCAATGAAGCTTACAACAAAAAAAAAACAAGCTCAAGTAAAGGCCACAGTTTTCAAACGTTGGTTTTATACGTCTTGGTATTAGATAATTGGCATCTTTTTTCGATAGGAAAATTAACCTCTTAAGGATATCCGATCCTCAGCTAGGAAGGACAACTCTTTAATTTATTATTTAATTCAAAAAGTCTCAACATGAAGCTTAAATATGAAATCTTTTCATGCAACAATTTTCATTTTATGCATCTCATTGTGATTCAAGGTTCTTTGAAGTTTTAGAAACAGTCTTTTAAAACGTTGATATTTTACCCTATAAAGGTATGTTAAAAGTACAGATTTAAAGAAATTGACTTTTCCTTTAATTTAGCCGTAGATACCAACGCTAATTAGCATGATATGAAATTAGAAATGATTTATAATGTTTTGCAATGATATGACACACTTTATAAACTATTCATTATAAATAACTGAAGTACACAGAAGAAACTAAAGTACTGTATAAGTAGAAAAATCACGCAATTTTCTTCAAATGCCTGGATACCTACATGTATAGTTTTTAATCCTGAAATATTTTTGTCGATCAATTTCCAGTTAGAAAATGCATAGTAGGTGTCTCTATTCGCATTTCCTGAAAGGATGACTGCACTTAACGCCGGGTTTTGGGTCTTTTTCGGTCGCTTCTGTTGCTTTTATATCATAATCTTATTTCATCTTTATATATTTATGAAAGAATCCTGTCCATTTCTAGCCGAATTTTAATATTAAAATGATCTTAGACTGTGATGCAATAAAATGATTCTATGTTTTCTGTCCTTACTCTTTCCAAATATAGAGAATTTACACTTACCTGCCCTTGATTAAACATTAGGTTTGCATGAGAGGTGGAGCTAATATTGTAAGAATGGGTCTAAAATTAGATAGATAAATAACAATGACATGTATTTAAAAAAATACGAGATCACTCTTTCCCATTCCCTCTTTATTCTGTATGGCACAAGTACACTATATTCAGAGGTTTCAAAAACAAAATTAACAATATGAGTGACGTCCATGTAAGTGAAGAATCTTTTAAATCAATGCCTAACAATTTAACGTGTTCGAGTACTCTGTCCTTAGTTAGCACAAAACATGCTACTTTACAAGTCACGTGACGGAATTTAGTATTCACAGAGTTACCTGAGGTAAGAAATCACGTGGTGAATTATAATATTCAACATGTTACAGCCCTTGGTTACAGCAGAGAGAGCGAATGCAAGAAGAAGCAGTTTTTTCTCGTTTAAACCATGAGCGCATGTTTGTCTATTAATCTCCTTTTGACACAACATTGTTAATGCAAATATACAACTACTGTTAAACGGAGAACAATAGACAAACATGCGCTGACTATGTATAAAGTCAGTGAAAAAGTGGGCGTCCTCATTATCGTACGGAGATTCAAGAAATTGTGATGACCCCCGCCTAAGAAAACAGCTTCGTACTTCGTAAATACGTACTTTCATTTAATGTAATTACATAAAGTTGTAGATTAGATGTTGACCATTCGTGCATTTAAAAGAAAAATGCTTGTTTTGAAAGTTTATTTTGTCGCAATTTTCGCATGTCTTTAAGTGCAGTCATCCTTTATTTGAAATTTACTAATTTTTCCTATATACTATGATTAACTTTAATGATGAAGTTGGAACAATTGCTGTGGGTAAATTCACGTTAATTTGAGAATTCAGAGACATTTTTGTGAGCATTTTCAATTATTCAGTGCCTGATTTTCAGAACCTGAGGACTACCTTAACTTTTATATATTTATATAACTAAATGGCATTTTCAAGCCACACAGATTAACTTCTTTGATTAATTGTATGGCTTTTCCAATACATAGGAAATTATCCTCTACATTTCCATATGTGTGAAGATGTAGATGACAGAACCAAACCGTCACTTTTAAGCGGAAACAGTATTCACGATTCCTTTGCTCGCTGTATCACAATACATGGCACACATGGCGCTCAGGTAGGTACATTTGATTGTGATGCTGCAAAGTAATTTTGACTTTAAAAAAAAACTTTAGTGATACTCTCAAATACATGCAAATCAATATTTGTTTTATTACAATAAAACTTTCATGGGGTTGTATTGTTTCATACCATTTGTGATTTGAGTTTATACTAAATTTTACTTCGGATACTCTCTCCACAAAATCAATACAGATCAATACATAGGGCTCCTTCCAGACACCTGATCCCATCTATGGTGTTTGCAGGAGTCAATGTTTTGATGTTAATAATGCATTTTGTTTACTGATTTCTAAGATTTATCATTGCTTGTTAACTTCACCTTTTACATTTTACAAATGCATGTAATGCACGGAAGTACATAACAAGTATGCGGACAATTTTAAAATTTCACCAGTTGTCAAGTTATGTTTTTAATGCTGCATAACATTGACATGCACTAAATATTTTGTAATTTTGTCCATTATTTATTATATATTTACATTCAATGTAGTTTTTTCAAAATCCATTGAAAATCTACAACACTCAAACCTCTATAAACGCACGTGAAACCTTGTAACAAAAGGAACTGCACACACTTTCAATAAACCAGGAAATCAAAATGGATCTTGTTTTGGCCCAATTTAATTAAAAACAATTATTGCAGTTCTAATCTAACAATTAGACTTTTACAATTCCCCTGCAATATTTATTCGCATTATTTAATTTTCGATGTCGAAACGACTTTTACGTCTGTTGAAAAAACATACTAGTTCTGAAAGGCGCTAAATTCAAAATAAAGACGAATGGAATAAACATAAATTATGAAGATAGATAAATGGAGAATATAAAAATAAGCATTTAATTCTTATTTTTGGATGCCGTCGGTCGTATATTACAGTACTTTTCCGTGCTGGCAATTATCATACCGCGCTAACCCGCGGTGTTTAATTTGTCGGTATGGCTATGTGCTGTTATACGACCGACGACATCCAAAAAATAAGAATTCAATGCTTAAAAACATTCCCTTAAATACGACTGATAGCCAGCTTATCAAAATTCTTCAATTGTTCACCATTATATATGTCTAATATGAGTAATACCTCTGCGAAGACCATGATCATCGGAAATTGTCTCACTTTAATTAGTTTCGCTTCAATCTTAGTAAATAAAAATAGTAATATGTTATTGCTCTTATGATAAAAAAAGCAGTGCTCACTTCGAGATATCTTCTATAAAATTGTTTAATAGGATAAGATCTCTTTGCATAGTTTTCCAGTGTAACATGTTATGTAAGTCTGAATGTTCTAAATGTTTCTGTTTACCTAGGTTAAAGACAACTTCTGCTTTAATACTCTTGGTCATGGATACTTTTTAGAAGATGGAGGCGAGAAGAGAACGGTATTGGATGGTAATCTTGGAGCAGGACAAAAGAGAGGGAATCTCATAAGATCCGACATGTTAGTCATCATGTGTTTAATTATACTTAATGTCAAGTTCAGAAAAATATATATTTTGACTCCGATTGATATAACCGATATATACAAGTTTCACATTCTTTTGCTTACAATATTTATTTTTTCTCGTCTTTATTTTGTTGCTATCATTCAGGAATCCAACAACATTTTGGATAACAAATCCACAGACATACGTCAGAAATAACGTGGCTGCAGGCGGAGAGGTACATTTTAACAATAAGCCATCAAAATTATGTAGTAATACTAGGTATCATATAGGTATAGGTCATCAAGATAAAGTTTGCAAGTTAAATTTGAATAATTCTTTGATGTGCTATTCGTCAAAAATCATAATATTGTCAATTTGAAGCCTCCACTACAAAGTACACCATTATTATAATCTTAAAACCTTAGATATCTCAGGACTTGAACAAAGGTGCAGGCATTGTGTATTTACTTAGAGGAAAAGTATGGAAAACTTTATGAACCATGACTTTCTAATTTAGAAATATTAAACTAACTAACCCAAAGGTCAATTTTGAAATATCCATGCATTTGTTAGACAAAGGGATAGAGGCCAGAAGCACATAAAATCTTCAGCTTGTCAAGGGACTTGAACGTTTTGTTTTACTTGAGCAACGTAACAAGAATCAATTTCTTTGCTTTTAATATCGGTTATGTGTGATCATATTTATTGTTTTTCATGCGAAGAATTTTTTGGCAGCAATTTTAAATTGCATGATGAAATGTCTGAGTATATATATTTTCTATGCGAAGTATATTAAGAATTTCTACCGTAGAGCATTTATAGTTTCTCTTGTTTTCAATTCTTGCAAAGGTCCTTTCTATATATATATATATATATATATATATATATATATATATATATATATATATATATATATATATATATATATATATATATATATATATATATATATATATATCGCTTAACCTGATAAATGGTAAACTATTTTAAACCACACATTGTCGTCTTTACGTCAATGTCATAGAAAAAAAAAATACACAAAGAATAAAAATCATGAATTAATTACATTCGAACAAAAGTAATGAGTGAGAGATGATTAAAATTAAAAAAAAATAATCAGTTTATGTACCAATTATGATAGTTTGATTCATTGTCTGTAGGCCCATGGATTCTGGTTTGTCTACCCTAACTCACCCGTTGGTCCCTCAGCAAGCCGTGGATTCATGGACCAATATGAAGCTATGCACACCGCAATATTTGAATTCGACAACAACGTTGCCCATTCAAACGCAAAGGTAACTTCAAAGGAATTAATTTTTCATTCTATTATTCGATGAGTTACAATCTTAACTGCATGACTTATTGAGGAAGCTTATTAGGAAAAATAGTATGCGAATCATTAGTATCGATAGATTTATATTGTTTTTTTTTTCTTTTCTTTTTTTTTTTTTTGGAGCTATTTACTCATGCTACAGGCATAGTTTAATTTGTTTTATGTTTATTTTCTTTGACAGAGTGGTTTATTCATTGATAATATCCTGAGATCTGACGGTAGTCTTGTATCAAGTAATTCTTATGAACCCTGGAATGATCCAAAAGATTCAGAATCCGGGGCTAAAATGGTGACGATAAGAAAACTTACGGGTAGGTTCTTACTTAATTATTTTGAAATGTCATTTGTTTTTACAGCAAACAATCCATGTATCAATATATATTAACAATAAACACTTAAAAAATTTATGTGCGTTACACTTCAGCGTACAAAAACATGAAAGAAAATGCTTGGATTAACGGTGGTTTATTTAAAGTCACCGAGTCTTCGTAAGTCTTGTAAATTTCATACAATAAAGATTCCATTTGCTCTCAGTTTTATTAATAATCCTTTATTACAAACATTGTAACAATAATAAGTGCACATAAAAATGAACCTTTTTGTATTTGTCATAAAGTAATACCATTAAATTTCATAAAATTAAAGAATTTGCACTTTGTCTTTTTTTTTCTTTACTCAGATTCTCTGATAGCGTTATTGGACTTACATTTAAAAGGTATGTATAAACATGTATCACGTAACTTATCTTTGTCTGACCCAAACTCTGTCAGCCATTTTAGACTTATTTATTCCAGTGATAGTATACATGAGTCAGTGATCATGCTTGCTTCTATTTTATTGCTACAGAAGTTCTGAACAGAATCAATACATTGAAAAGAGCGTCTTTATTGGGGATTCTCCGAACACTGGGTCCCCCACGGTGATTTCCAGTGGGGGAGCATCCAAAACCTACCCTAGATCTGTTCCAATAGCGTTTGCGTAAGTATATAAATATACCTTGTGACAAATAACATTGGCAGCATTTCTTTTCAAATAGTTGTAACTTTTAACGATAATTTAATGTATTGATAACCATTTTAATATTAGCGACCAACCTCGCCAAGGGTTCGTGTTTTATCATGGCCCTGTTTTTGTTGATGACACGTTTTTCGGGGACTTTGAAGACACAGAGAATTATAGGTCTGGTGCTCTTGGTTTCCAACGTGACAACGACGGTCATAGTTCTCCAATTAGCGCCGTCAGTGGAATCAAATTTGGTTTCTCAGATGTAAGCTTTAATTAATTCAGAGGAGAAAAATCTAGGTTGTCCATTTCATAAGTTCTTTCTTTTTAAAATGTTTACTTTTATCACATTTGACTACGGTGTATTTTATGTGCATAAATGAACTTATATATATATATATATATATATATATATATATATATGTATGTATGTATGTATGTATATAAGATGTTGAAAATGAGCAATAGGTTAATAAGTAACACTTATAATACCATCAAACTGGGTATTCTGTATCTGGTTTTCTTTACAATAGGAATAAGTAAAAATAATCAAATATTGTGTTTAAAGCCATCCGAGGGTAACCGCGTGTTCGACGGGAATGCTACAGACAATGGTTTTTCTGGACTAGACGGTGATTTGATCGGTTCTTTCCGGGATACTGATGGATCAGTGTTTTCTACCGGATCACAGATTGTTAAAGATCTTCCATTCCACTCAACCTCAAACTGCTATCAGAGGACTAACTGGAAAATGATGGCCTGTACAAACACTTTCGGACAAGTAATTGTCTATGAATATCTGATTCACTATATTAGCAATTACAGTAGTTCATCTAATTGAGTGAATTTGTGCAATTACGATAATTGTACAAATAAGTTTTTAATTGATTTTTTTGAAGCACATGTTTATAGTATTATGTAGGCTGTACCGAAGAAGAATTAGACATGATTCTTAAAACTGAAAGACATTTGTAATCCATCTATCCAATCACAGGTGCGTCTATCATGGAATTTCAAACCTACTGGGGTAGCAAATGACGTTTCCATTTATCGGGACGACCTCCCTGATAACCCAATTGAGTCAGACGCCAGGAAAATGGCTCCATTTATGGCCATTTTGGGAGAAGGATATGGTTATTTAGCTAAAATGAACGGAAACGTGCCGACCTCAGTTGGTTTTAAGGGACTTGGTTTCACCAAGTTAGTTTAGTTTTGTTTTTTTTTTAAATTAAAATGTGGTATATGATCTACATGATTTATAAACGTATCTTGACATTTTTTATGTTGGTTGTTATCCTTTCCATTCAACTTAACTTTGCAAAATGATATCAATTTTAAGAACTAAAACTGCACGGATGGGACTCTGCGTACCTAGAGATGCTACAATATTTGTCAGAGTACTGGATCTCACATCAACTTCTAAATGGAACAAATGGACTAAAGGGGAGTCCTTGTCAACTATCGAGGATCTTGACTCCAGTACAAATGCTAAAAATTACTTCTTAGATTCAGAAGTTGGGTATGCAGTTTTGAACACTTTGAACCTCAATGTTTTTTCTCAATGTCCGAAAAACTCAAATTTTTGAGTGTTGATATTTTTCATAACACAAACAGATTTCAAATATAATCTCTGGGATCTATTTTGTCAGGGTTGTCTTCTTCAATATAATGCATGAACGGGAATACAGCTCCTCAGATGCGCAGGATTGTCTTGATGAACGATGCCCCAGTGTAGTGGTGAAGATAACTGGTGGTGATTCTTCCGATTCGGACTGTACCTCCAGGGCGTTTGATAAATACAAGCGAGAATCACGTGACTCCTCCCCCGTACGTATAGTAATCAGTAGTGTGACGTTCCATTTGCATTCATTTGTGTTGATTTTCAGAGCACATAAGGTTCAGTTATAAGTGGTTTGTTTTGAAGTTTTATATATATATATATATATAAGGGATGTCAACGAGTACCCGGTTTACCGGGTACTCGCTCGAACGTCCGAGTATCGAATACTAAAATCGGTACTCGGTTACTCGGATGTGTATTTTTTTCATATTTCAAAGTGCATATATTTATTAAAAACTTATCAAAAAATGTGATTTAAATATGCATTGTCCATGTCTGTACAGTAATTACCGTCACCTACACCAGTTAATACCCGTTATCGCCTGTGGCTGTGTTCGTGTATATAGAGTAATTAATCACTGGACACTGTACACAGCCGTTCTCACCTCTTGTGACCCTAATTTCTAGATGGCTTTCATTATTTGTTTTCAATGAACATCGTTTAATTATGATCTATTAATTATTCTATGATTATTCAATTAGCATATGAAAACGAAATCTGACATACATAGAAATACCGCTACCAATTCACCAGACTGTTCAAAAGTGAAGAAATATTTATAAATAACCGAAGATTTAAAAAATGTTAAAAGGCACCTGCATGTGCTTAGTAAATTTAGCGTATAGGATGGAAACAACCATATATTAAAGGAATCACTTTTTAGTTTGCTGTGCATACCAGGGCATCAACGGCAGTTGGAAACGTGGAATAATTTATCCATAACGGATGGAGTTGTAAATATCGAGAAATTAACATACTTAACTTTCAGAGTTATCACAAAGAAAACATTTGCAAACGTAAAATTAATAATATACAACTCGCGATTACGACAGAGTCCATTCCCCACTGTTCCCAAAGATATTCTCTATCGCTAGTCTTTTTTTTTTTTTTTTTATTCAGATTTTACAAAGACATTTTGGGGTAAAGTCTCCTCAGAGACCCCCTCATAATCCGCACCATATGTGCCTACAGCTTTCTGGATTGGATAGCATAGATCTATGTATACATTGATATTATTAAAAATAATAGTATAATGACAATGAAAAAAAAGATAAATTTCTAAACAAAAATGATATAAAAGTATTCCATATTTTTTTTCTTCTGTTTTGTAATGTCAAAATTTATACAGTACAAATGATATCCGGTTGTAACTTTGAATATAAACATTGAGTTATCTTCGACTTTTTTTTTTTAAACAGTCAAATAATGCAAAAAGACTCGAGGTAAAATTAAAATCTACAGGTTATGTGTATAAAAATTTACTGCTTATGAAATCCGTGTTATCATAGAGGTCCCATTTCACCTTCCAAAGTCCATATTGACCCCCACTTGTTAACATGCTTCTTTGGTCAGGCTACCCAAGAAGCTTTGGATTTCATAAGTTGTTACGTAATTATAACATGAAGGAAAAATGCTCTATTAACTATGAATTATATATGTCTTTCAACATTTATACACATTTCAGCTAGTTTGAAATTTTTATATGACATTTTTATAATATTATAGTACATCAATAAATTGCTCTTCACAAATTTTATCAAATTTTCAGTAATACATGGTTCACAATTTACACGACATTTCATTTCATATTTATATATTTTCAGAGCTATATAAGAAATGAGTATGTTCAACATTTCAGATAGCTGAGTTTCTTAAAAAAAAACCAATTACTATATTTTTCCAGCCAATATTGAACTTCAATGATTGGCTTACTTTTTTCCATATATACAAGGAATCATTACACTTATATAAAAGATGTTCTATATTTTCTATTTCACTCTCTCGCTAGTCTAATCATTACAAAGTTGCGTCCTTCTCTTCCGTTGACCAAATTGTCTTCATAAATAAGAACTGTAAAGCATTTGTAATTATTGGTGTATTAATTGATCATGTCTTTTGTGTTTGTTTGATAAATAAATTTAGTACAAAAAGAATCGTTCTCGTTGGGCTCGATGTTTATGTACATGCATTATAACATGTTATAAACGAAAGAAAACATCGATGTGGTAAACAGGTCTCAAACCCTACATGTATAAACACTTTTTCCGAGTACCCGGGTACTCGATCGGAAAATCGTCCGAGTAACTGATTATCAAATATTGACCGATTTGACATCCCTAATATATATATATATATATATATATATATATATATATATATATATATATATATATATATATATATATATATATATATAAAGAGGGAGAGAGACTGATTTTGAATAGAAATGTTCATAAATAATAGATTAGATATAAAGAAACTTTCATTTTCTTTGGTGTTCAAATATGCATCTTGGTGTTATTTTCTCTGAAAATGAGTACATTTTTCGTCTGCATTTTCTGACATTATAACAAAATTTCACAAATATTTACACTTACTTTGGACAACTATATGAACAAAATCAATTAGATATATTGCTGATTTTTAAAGAAATTAAAGTTTATGTAAGTGGACACTTTTATGTATTAATGTGATAGACATGCAAGTTAAGATTTATCCATTTCTTTTTCAAGGAGACCGAAATTACTGCCTTGCCAACAAGTGACCTTTACCCACCTCCTGTAAGTATTGTTATTGAATAAATTAACCCTCACAATTTGATTAAAAATTCATCTTTGAGAATGCTTTAAAAATTCTCTAAAAATGTCCATGCTTATTTATTTCAGTTTCTTTATTATAATTCTGTTGAAAAATAATGGAAGTGTCTTGCCAAAAAATTATTTCATTTAGGGGTTTAAAAATTGAATTAGTTTCATTTTATTTTTATTTTAGTCCTGGGGTGCTGGCTCCTCACGTGATTAAAAGAAGAAATAACCGAACTGTAATACTGTAATACTTTATATTGAATGCTTTCTTTTATATGAAATAAAAATAGAATTATTTGAATTTGAACATCTTAGTTATATCTTCTGTTTTTAACCACAATTTTATGATTTTGAATACTAGTATTTCATGGTGTTGACTATGGCGTGTAAAACGTTGCATTATTATACTTTTTTGTTATTTCTATTCAAAAATTTTGCTATTCTCATTCTAAAATATATCATTCCTATTCGTTAAAATGTGATTCCTATTCGATAAGTTCTTATTCTTATGCGAAAAAATGTGCTTTCTATTCAATAATTTATCATTCCTATTCGATAAATTGTTATTCCTATTCGAAAACATGTGATTCCTAGTCGAAAACATGTATTCTGTGTTTTTTCAATGGGAATAACATGTTTATCGAATATCAATCGTTTAATTATCGAATAAGAATGACAAAATTATCGAATAGGAATAAAAAAAATATCAAAAAGGAATCAGTTTTCGAATATGAATGACATGTTATCGAACAGAAAACACATGTTTTCGAATGTGAATGATATATTTTGGAATAGGAATCATATTTCTTCCCATAGGAATAACAATTTATCGAACAGAAATAACAACTTATCGAATAGGAATTACATCTTATCGAATAGAAATATAATCTGTATTTATGCCGTGTGTGTTCATATTGTATGAAATATGGAGATAACGAACAGTATTCAAGCTCAAAATCCATTAAAACAATACAAATCTTGAGTAGAGCAAACACAGACCTCCAAAAACATCAAAGGTGGGATCAGGTGCCATGGAGGAGTGAGCATCCCCTGCCGATCGGTCACACCCGCCGTGTGCTCCTTGTCATGATCGGGAAATAACGGAAAATCCGTCGACAATTCAGTGTGTAAATAATGGCAATTACAGTTGAAAATAAAAGCACAAAGGAAACAATTACAAACACTTTTTTGTTCTTTGATTGTGAAAGATTCGTTGAGATACAAGCTTAGTTAATTGCATTTGTGAATATATAAATGTGTATATCTATTCTAAATCAATCTACATAAGCATTTAGATGTTTGTTAGAAACTTGCACAGTTCCTCAGGGAATATTAAAACAGCCCATTTATATATTTGAACTGCCATAAACTCCCTCCATCTTGTTTAGCATTGTCTAATAGAGCAAATAAAAAGGCTAGATTGAACTTTACATGAACTTTATTTCAAAAAATGAGGATAAATGTAAGCAGATCAGATTTTACAAATATTAGATTCCTTTGTTGTGTTCACGCTTTTAACATCACTCTTACTTTTCATTATGAAAAAAAAATTATGAAAAAACTTTCTGTGTGTGAATTAAATTCAACTTCATCGAATTTTTTTTTTTGTGTGTGTGGATTTTTCAAATATGCTACATGTATTGTTAGGCATTAAATATTTATGCGACGTCAATTTATTCATAAAGCTGACCAATTCATAATCAAAAGCTTATTGATTTTCATGAGCTAGTAACAGGTACACAGTACTGCAATAATTAAAAAAACGATGTAAAAAAAAAAAGAAATAAAATTAATTTACAATTAAAGTACACGTTTCATTGATCTGAATAATTAAATTCCCTATTATCAATATTTCTTTTAATAACTTAAAAAACGGTCGCAAATTTCCAAAATGTAAAAAAAAAAATATATCAAAAAGCATCCAAACAAACACAAAGTATTAAATCAAGACGACTTGTACTAATTGAGCTCTGTTATTAAAGTTGATATTACTTATTTTTAAAACTTTATAATGAAATTAAGATCTTAGAGCATTAGCTATAGAATAGTTTTTTGCCATTCTTTAAATAATGAATGGTCATCTAGTTTTAGATCACTTGCTACAAAGAAACTTTTTTTCAAAAATCATGAAAATACACACTAAAACTATGTTTATATTAGTAAAATGAATTAAATTTAGCCGGATAAAGTTTACATTTTTCTCAAGATTAATCAAGAATGAAAAAAATAATTGAAAAATATAGATTTATAAAAGAAACGGGAAAAAGGTAAGAATTTTGAACATCATAGAAAGTTTACAATTTCTTAATACTTAAAGAATTTGATAATTGCATCATTTGTAACCAAAAATGTCCAGAAACATATACCTATCCAGGCGTCCAATTTTTTTGTACCAAGCAGGGATGGGGTAATTGTAATCAGTAATCATAATCAGCTGTAATCGATTACAGTTTGCTGTATAATCATGAGTAATCAGTATTCATGCATTTTTCTGACTACAAGTAATTGTAATTTAATCAATTACTCTGAAAAGTCTTGTAATCATGATTACTTTTTGATTATTTTATGAAGATTACAATGGTAAAAAGTCACCCGCGTGGCGCAGTGGTAGAGCGTCCGCTCTAGAGTAGGGAGTTGATCCTTATGTCGTGGGTTCGAATCCCACTGTGGGACGTGGAGATCGGTCCTTCGGATAAGACCGTATAAATCGAGGTCCCGTGTCGCAGTAGATGCTGGCACGAAAAAGATCCCTCACTGCTCAATGGCCCTGAGTGCTGAGTATAGGTCAATATTTGCAGCTCTCCACCGGCAAGTGGTGGCGTCTCCATATGAGTGAAAAATTCTCGAGAGGGACGTTAAACAATACACAAACAAACAATGGTAAAAAAAACTATGGTCTTTGATGATATTCAGTGGATATTTTTTCAGTCTGCAAATTTGTGTATAAGCAAAAATTATGATAAAATTATAGGCTATATATCTTTTATTGTCCTCGGGAATATATTCCATTTATGAGACAGGACTTTTTTTTTTACTTTAACTCGTGCTTCAGTTGTGGAAATATAAAAAAATAAATCCTGACCCACTCATGAAAACAAATCCTATCCAACTGCAAAACATTGAGTATCTTGTAAGTCTTTTTCAGGGTAATTGATTGATTGATTGTACGTTGTCTTACATCTCGTTCGAGAAATTTTCAATCATATAGAGAAGTCACCATATACCGCTGAAGGACTTCAAATTTAGACGCATTTTCTCGGCACTAAGGGTCATTGAGCAATAAGGGTTCTTTATCGTACCAACGTCTACCGTGACACGGGTCCTCGGTTTTTAAGGTCTCAACTGTTAAAGTGCCGAACGCTTGGCGAAGGAACAACTGCTACCTATTTTATCTGGACTTAGGTCAGCCGCGGCCGTGATTCGAACACACGACCTTCCGATCACGGAGCGAGCGCTCTGCCGACTGAGCTACCGTGACTGTTTTTTCTGAGTGTGGCTGTATACATTTTCATTCAGTCTGGATACTGTAAATATTAAATTTTATTCCCTATAACTAATTTTCTGATAAATTAAATATGGAGATAACGACCAGTAATTAAGCTCAAAAGTCCATAAAAATACACATCAAAAGCAGAGCAAAAACAGACTTCTAAAAAACATCAGAGGTGGGATCAGGAGACATGGAAGAGTAAGCATCCCCTGCCGACCGGTCACACCCGCCGTGTGCTAGTTGTCATGATCGTGAAAACGGAAAAATCCGTAGACAATTCACTGTGTAAATATAGTGTCCTTACAATTAGTATGAAAAACGCCAGTCAGCAATCAACTTAATGATATATTGTATTTGCTGACAAGGTCATTGTATCGACCGTAGAACTTGCGAAATTATGACTTTAAACTGTTGATATTCTTGTTTTCATCTCTTCTTTGTCAATAGTTTGCCTCGATTAAGATACTGCACGTATGTAGAGCATGCTCTTGCATATCGAATCAACTGGTAGAAAAAAGTTGAAGTATTCACATTTATCATAGAGTTTTGCTGTTATGTTACCATCTTTTTCTAGTAAAATATCCAAATATGAAACAGATGCAGGCTAAGTAGAATCTTTCAAGTTCACTGGGATATATCGAGTCGACATATGAATGGAAGTAACTACAGTATGTTAATTGATAATACCTCGTCGATATATCTAAATGTATGAAATTATAATTTTCGATGTTTGTCATTGCCTAGTATACTCAACTTTGACTCATAGGACTAATTCTGGCTCACCTATGCTTCAAGATCAAATGAAGTATTTTAACATCAACTTCAGAGTGATTTTTAAGAAAGTAATTTTTAAATGAGCTAACACAAGATATGAAAGTTTCCGAGTTTCGTTTTTATTTAAGAAGCAGCAGTTGTCTATGATATCATAAAGCTTAGTTTTCAATTATCGTGAGTTATGGTTGAACAAAGTTTAGAGAAGTCGTATGTTTTGATGTCAATGAATTTAGAAAAAAAAATTGTGATTTTAATTTTTTTAAAAGTTCTTTGGAGTTTTTGAGAATCCACATCTGAATTACATTACTTCTAGAATGTGCTGTAACAGCAGTTAATATTTTTTGTAAAGAGTAAAGATTGGAGTTTGGTAGAGCATTCGCTTGGCCTGGCAATGTATATTTGTTGTAAGGATTTTTATGAAGTTAAAGAATCCAGTATATAAAGGGTAGATCGAACTCGGCTTGGTTGAGTGGAATGTTAAAAGTATTAAACACAGAAATGTTATTTTGAAGAATTCCATCCTTAGAAGTGAACTGTGATAACAAGCTGGGTTTCCAGATGTAGAATTAAAACAAAGTTCTTCTAAAATAGAATTATAACAATGAGCTTTACAAAGAAAGGTAATATTGTTTCAAGCCTTGTCTGCTGAAACCATAACACACTGTTCAAGTATGAAGAAACGGAAGAAAAGATAGATGGTTTGCATATTGCATTTCAACCTTCTTAATCGATTCTTGAACACTTGTAAAGTGTTAAGGTCTTCCCTTTCTTATTTAGCGCAACGTCTGGCATAATCTTCGAAATAATTCATAATAAAAATGATTGATTGATTGATTGTATGTTGTTTAATGTCCCGTTTGAGAATTTTCACTCATATAGATACGTCACCATATACCGTTGAAGGGCTTCAAATTTTTTTCGGGGTTTATTTTTTTTCGATCATGACAAGGAGCACACGGCGGATGTGACCGGTCGGCAGGGGATGCTCACTCCTCCATCTTATCCCACCTCTAAATTTTGAGGTCCGGGTTTGCTCT